TTTTTTTTTTTTTTTTTTTCTGGGTCTTGACTTGCTTAAAGCTATTCACTGTTTCTTGTTCTGGAGAAATTACCTAATTTTAGTTCTGATTCGTAGTAACTAAATTGATAAGATGAATGACTTATAAAGCTTGAATCTTGATTTGGAATTTGCCTTTTGGGGTGCTTTGTAGTTTGTACTCACTGGTGCCTTTAAGCTCCATTTGAAGCTGAGTTTGTACAACTGCTTAACTGAGGCAGAAAGATTAAGTATTATGTTAAAGGAAACTGGTACAACTCGAAAAATGATGGCAAATAGTCCCGAGACATTAAGAATAAATTCGAAAGATAGATATGAGAATACTCCTTAAAGCATTATGAAGTTCCCATCTTTTATTTTTCTTATGTGAGTAGAGAATAATGTTTGCGAACATGGGAAATATTGTAGAGGTGTGATAGAAAGATTCTGATTGTACTCTTGTTTTTATAAATTTTCGTCCTGTTGAACAAGATGTCGTCGAGATTTGAAATTGGGTCATCGTTTAGTTCATTTCTTCTTAATTAATTGGCTTCTGACTGTGCGGCGAAAACACATAACACTGGCTTTACATGTTCCAGGTAGCACACGATTGTGTTGCACATTTATTTGAAAGTGGGAAATCGAAGCTATATGGTCGTGTGATATCTTAGCTTCATGGAGAAACTCTATCAGCTTGCATTTAGCTAAAATGAAGAAGGCGAAGGTTGATCTTTTATGTTTAAAAATCATGCCTTTATTTCATGCAAACAACTCCCATCCTTTCTTTTTCCTATGTGAAAAATGTTTCTGATTTATGGAAGTATTTTATCTTTGTCACCTTGAGTCTTTACTCTTTCAATCACAGTTCTCTTTATGCCAAATAATGCAAACCCTCATGCAAGCTCTTCCACAAATACTAAAATTTGACGCTATTTGGGAAAAAAAAAAATAAAAAATTAAGCCAAATGTAATATGAAGGAGAAGTGGAAATGTGTGTTGATGATGCCTCTTTCATGTCTTGGACTTATGGTATATGATTGAATATCTTACCTCAACAATCAATCTTCAGGGTCTGCTTACTTTGAACTTTTTACTCATGAATGACGCTAAAAGAATCTTTTTTCAGGACCAACAAAACACACTGGACATAAAGCCGAATATCACCTCTCATGATTCTCAAACCGAACAGCCGAACAATGCCACGGATACTCCTATACCAGACTCAGGTTCTGTTTCAGCTTCGAGCAACGACAACAGAAAAGTGTCCCGTGAGGATATTGAACTTGTGAGGCTCTCTCTCTCTCTCTCTCTCTCTCTCTCTCTCTCTCTCTCTTCTCTCTTAATTATTTCAGTGATATTCCTGATACAAAGTCTTAGGGAGTATCATACATTGATTCACTGTCTTCATTTCACGTAGGTTCAGAATTTGATAGAACGGTGTTTACAGTTGTATATGAATAAAGATGAGGTGGTGAAGACCCTACTGACTCGTGCTAGAATTGATCCTGGATTCACAACCTTAGGTAGGTTTCTCAGTTATCATAAGCAAAAGCTTAACGTTTTTGGATCGAGAAAGTGATTTGTTGTACTCTTGTAGTTGGAACATTACGTAATAGAATAAAAAAAGTTTAGTAATATTAAAAAATGAATCTAAAAATCAATATGTCAAAAGAGACTCCATTTGATATCTGAAGTACTTAAAATTGCTTCTCGTTTGATCAAAATTTACGAGCATTATAATTTCTGTTATTTGAAGTGGTTTGTCTCTGTGAAGGTGCAAAATAGTAAATTGCCAACAAGCGTATCCGCCAACTATACTTGTTAGTTTTGGCCTCTAATTTTTCGGCTTGAATAGTGTGGCAGAAATTAGAGGAAGAAAATGCTGACTTCTTCCGGGCCTACTACATAAGGCTGAAATTGAAGAGACAAATTATCTTATTCAACCACTTGCTGGAGCATCAATTTCATCTAATGAAATCTCCCGTGCCTCCAAAGGTTCCTCTAGCTCCCATGCAGAACGGAATTCACCCAATGCCTGGTATATCTATCCTTTCGATTCACATTTTTCTCCCTCCTTCCCATGTACAAACTTAAAATGCCAATGCTTGGCTTTCTGGTAACTCTAATGTCAATACTATACGGAAGCTTATACTGTATTTGTCATCATTATTGAGTGCGACTTTTTGCAGTGCAGTCAACAACTTTCCAATCGGATACCCGGTTATGCCACATCATCCGATGCCTGCTGCTGGACATCCTCATATGGACCCAATGGGCTATTCCACTTCCAGCTGTCATATTGTCAATGGAGTACCTGCTCCTGGAAATTTTCATCCGATTCGGATGAATTCTGGAAATGAGTGAGGAATCCTTTCTAATATGGTACAAGCTAATTCATGTAAATGAGACATACTCAAGTGTCCTATTAATGGTATTTTTCAGGATGGTGATTGAGAATACTCGGGCAGATGTATCACCTATTATGCCCCCCCGAAACAACAATGCAATGTCGTCCATGTCTGATATTCCTGTGAGCCCCACATCAGTGGCATCAAGTGGCCATTTTCCATTCAGTGCATCAGAGATATCTGGCATAGGGGTCGACAACTCGGCACTTGACACCGCTTTTACGTCTGATGTGGCGAGTTCGGTAGGGCTGCAACTCCAACCCGATAATGGGGCCGGAAATTCTCGAGATTCCCTCAGATCTTTGGCTCAGATACCATGGAATTTTAGCCTTTCGGACTTAACAGCCGATTTATCCAATTTGGGAGGTAATATATATTTTAAATATTACTTTATTACACTTTGTAGAGCATGATGTGACTTAATTATGCTGCGTGGAGCTAAAGTTTTCGGTATCTTTATTGAATTGTGTCTTTTCTTGAACTAACTATTAGTACTAGGCACTTATTGATTTGCATTTACTACATATAGATATGAGTATTTTAGCATTCGAGACGAGGCGTTGTTGGGATAAATAGTTTTATGGCTTGTGGATATGTTTGGTGCTGGGAAAAGTGTGCCCGGTGAATTAGCGAAGATTATGATTAAATGATAATTGTTGCTTATACAACTTACTAATGCAGATTTAGGAGCTCTTGGTAACTATCCCGGTTCTCCATTTTTACCATCTGATTCAGATATTCTACTTCGATCTCCGGAACAAGAAGATATAGGTATGCATGGTGACTGCCATTTCCTTTGCTACTTTTTTTTAAAAAAAAAAAAAATTGATTCAGGTTAATTGCAATAATAAATATCCTTGTGAGATTTGATATTCTTAAAAACAAAACTTATTACCACTCAAAATCACAAAACACAGCCCTGATAATGTTTCTGTTTTACAAACCGGATCAAGGGGTGTCTGTAACGAAACAATTTCAGATAGTTTTTTTTTATAATTTTAAATGATAGACTAATGTTTTTCGCAATCGGGTGAATTGTCGAGGCTAATTTCGGTAATACTTTCAAGATCCTCATTTCGACTTTCTCACGCTTGTGGCTGCCATTGGTTTTTCTCAGTGGAGGAGTTCTTTGTGGACTCTGATTCTGTTCCCGATCAATGCCCACCGTCGGATGAAGAAAAATCCTAGCCTTTAAAGGTCAGACAATCGTATCCACATCAAGTTTGTCGAATTTTGTGTTGAGGTTGGTGGACCATAACGATGTCTTCGAAAGAAGCAAAAGACAGAGAAAGAGTAATATATGCTCTCTTCTCTATATTAGGCATGTGGTGAGGGCTTAGTTAACAGTAAAGCTTTTAGAGGTTCAGATAGCAGCATAGCTAGCTCTCTCGAAGGTATTATTAGTTTTCAACTTTTACAAGTCACCATAATCTGTGTAATAACACATGATAACATCTTTGAAAGCCAAGATCTTATCATGCATGCTATATATGTTGTACTTTTCTGGACAAGAATAATACAGTTGTACTTTGGAATCTGAGGTGATATTGTGTTACGGATGTTGATGCGGTCCAATGTTGGACTCATGTAATATAGACTGTGGAGATGCATGTTGAATGTATGGATCATGGATGAATTTCATTGTCGTTTGTCTACTTCCTTTTATTTTTATTTTATTTATTTATTTATTTATTTATTTTTTAATATTATGTGAGAAAATTATTCTTTTTTTTTTTTT